AGGCATCTAAGGGGGGGAAAAAAGTAAGAAATCAGAAGGTTTTAAGGATATTCATCACAGCATTATTTAAATAGTGGAAAAATCAGAAACCGTCTAAATATTTTACAGTAGGGAAATGGTCAGATAAATTATAGTAAATGGACAACTAAACACTACAATTGTTAAAAACGTGTTTCTGAGAAACTCATGACATGGGAAAATGCTTAGAATATCAAGTGAGAAGACGATGCAAACGGCGTGTGTCAGATGTTCCCAATTTAGTTGAAAAAGTGAACAAATGGCGAGGCAGGTCTGTGGGCAGCGATGTCTGCCTCTCCCCCATGGGAGCTGGAGAGCAGTGGCACCCCATCATAGCTCACTGCAGCCTTGATATCCTGCGCCCAAGTCATTTTCCCACCTCAGCCTCCCGAGTAGCTGGGTCCACAGGCACATACTACCATGCCCGGCTATTTTTGTTTTCTTTTGTTTTAGAGACAGGGTCTTGCTAATGTTGTCCAGGCTGGCTTTGAACTCCTGGATTCAAGCAATCCTCCTGCCTCAGCCTCCCAAAGTGCCAGGATTACAGGTGTGAGCCACCATGCCCAGCCATAATTATCTAGTTGTAAGGCCAGCTGATTAATTCATCTCTCCACATAATAACATATTCACAGGTTGGGAGATTAGAATGAGAACATCTTTGGATAGGCTATTATTCTGCCTATTAGAGAGAAAGGCCTAGGACAGGAATTCCCACTGCTCAGTTTTAAAGGAAATACTATGTTCCTATCATTGGTTTATGAAGGCGCCCCTTTCTCTACATTCCTACCAACATTGGATATTTTCCACTTTTGGGACTTTTAGCAGTTGTTGAGCCAGCCCATTTTACCTCAGGGAAAATTGAGGTTTAAAGAGGGGAAATTACTTGCCTAAAATCTCATGCAACTTTCTGTTTCCTGACTCCCAGTCAAGTCTGATTCTCTCTTGGCATGCCTTATATGGGAGGATATTTACCCGGTGGCTTGGAAACCACTGAATGTACCTTCCATCCACGTATCTGCAGCCCAGCAAATGTATATTGGGAGCCTCAGACATGTGACCAGGGCCTTGTGGGCCAGAGGCAGACAGGAGGCCATGTTGTCTTTTTTTCCCTTTCTTTTTCTTTTTATTCATTTATTTATTTATTTATTTATTTATTTTTGAGACAGAATCTCCCTCTGCTGCCCAGACTGGAGTGCAGTGGCTCAATCTTAGCACACTACAACCTCCGCCTCCCTGAGTTCAAGTGATTCTCATACTTCAGCCTCCTGAGTAGCTGGGATCACAGGTGCGCACCACCATGCCTGGCTAATTTTTGTATTTTTAGTAGAGATGGGGTTTCACCATGTTTGCCATGCTGGTATCCAACTCCTGACCTCAAGTGATCCACCTGCCTCACTCTCCCAAAGTGCTGGGATTACAGGTGTGAGCCACCGCGCCCGGCCAGTGTTGTTGTCTTTTGAGAGCCCCCTTTTCTCTCACCTGATCTCCCTGCCCCCCATTTTCCCCTTTAGTCCCCTTTCCAGGTGCTACTGAGTAGCTGTAGGGTCAGTCTAGAAATGCCAACCAGCTTGGGATTCTTGCTGGGAGAGCCCTTCCTTCCCTGGCTTTGTAACTCAGAGCCTTCTGGTGTGCACACCTGCAGGGTCCAGGCCGGGCCTGTACTTCTTGCTTCTCTCTTTCTCTCCCTGAGATTGGATTCCTGACTCTGTCCTCAACTAGCTTGAAGGGGCCCCCAGGAATGGCCCCTTCTGGATTTCATACCCTTGTACAGTCCTGTTTCACTTTGTAAAACATTTAAAAAGGTTTTTTTTTTGTTGTCAGAGACAGGGTCTCACTTTGTTGCCCAGGCTGGTCTCAAACACCTGGCCTCAAGCAGTGCTCCTGCCTCAGCCTCCCAAAGCACACCCGATCTCTTTCTATCAGGGTTGTTGTGTGTGACCAGCAGATGTGTTGGAAGTGATGGTGTGTCACTTCTGGGGTTAGGTCATAAAGACGCGGCAGCTTCTATGTTGCCTGTGTTGTCTTTCTCTTGGGCCACTTGCTCGGGGGAGTGCCAACTGCCAAGGCTTGAAAGCACACACTCCTGGGAAAAGGCCCCAGTGGTGAGGGACTGAGGCCTCCAGCCCACAGCTATGGGAACATGGGAATGAATCTTTTAGGAAGTGCATCCTTCAGCCCTGCTCTAGCCTTTAGATGACTCAGTATAGGCTGCAATTTTTGTTTTTTGGGGGGTTGGGGGGCCAGAGTCTTGTTCTTGTTGCCCAGGCTGGAGTGCCATGGCGCGATCTTGGCTCACTGCAACTTCTGCCTGCTGGGGTCAAGCGATTCTTGTGCCTCAGTCTCCTGAGTAACTGGGATTACAGGCGCCTGCCACCATGTCCAGCTAATTTTTGTATATTTTTAGTAGAGATGGGGTTTCACTATGTTGGTCAGGCTGGTCTCAAAATCTTGACCTGGCGATCTGCCCGCCTTGGACTCCCAAAGTGCTGGGATTACAGGTATGAGTCACCACACCTGACCAGCCCTGGCTGCATCTTCATGGCAACTTCACGAGAGAGCCTTAGCCAGGCCACCCAGCCCTGCCTCTCCTGAATTCCAGACCCACAGGAACCGTGAGTTAGACCTCTTTGTTGTTTTACACATCTAAATTTTGGGGCAATTTGTTAAACAGCAGTAGATAACTAATATACTAGCTGTAGGGCTTTGGGCACATTCCTTAGCCTCTGTACCCCCGTTTCCTCCCTCGTGCCATGATCGATCGTTGTAGAGGTGAGTGAGGAATGTGTAGTTGCAGCACAGGACCACACACATAAGGCAGCTTGCCAGCCCCTCCTGAGATGTTTCTGGTCATCTTCTTGCCCCTCCCTGGATGGACCGTGACTTCACAACGTCAGGCCAAGTTATTGTATTCTTGGCCTGAGGTCATCCATTGGCCATGGACAGAGGTTCTGGGCAGGAAAGGGTGAGATAAAGAGAGGGGTCAGTCTCCTTCCTCCAGCCCGGGTCCGGAGAATCATGCTGGGCCGGGTGAGACATCTGCTCCCTGTGTGGTGTCCTGGGATGGGCAGCTGGACCTGACCCATGGGGAGGTTTCTCTGTCTCCAGAGGGTAGAGGGGCTTCTTGGTCTCGCTTCTCTAGCGCTTGGCCAAGCATTCTCACTGCCATTGAGGCCTCCAGCAAAACTGAGAACTGTCCTTTCTTCCTTGCCCTTCAGCTGCCCCTTTCCTCTGCCCTCTGGTGCTTTGTCAGCTGCTTTCTTCACATAACAGCCTCCTTGTGACCCTTGGCCCCTGCCCCTGAGGCTCCTCCACCCTGGGCTCCGTGTTCTAGAGTTCACCGTGTGCTATTTCCTCAAGTTGTTTCTACTTCACTGCTTCCCTTTTCTCTGTGCATTACTCAAGAACTGCATGGCCATGTGTCAGTATAAAAAAAATAAAGGGCTGGGCGCAGTGGCTCAAGCCTGTAATCCCAGCACTTTGGGAGGCCGAGACGGGCGGATCACGAGATCAGGAGATCGAGACCATTCTGGCTAACACGGTGAAACCCCGTCTCTACTAAAAAATACAAAAAACTAGCTGGGCAAGGTGGCGGGTGCCTGTAGTCCCAGCTACTCGGGAGGCTGAGGCAGGAGAATGGCGTGAACCCGGGAGGCGGAGCTTGCAGTGAGCCGAGATCGGCCACTGCACTCCAGCCTGGGCAACAGAGCGAGACTCCGTCTCAAAAAAAAAAAAATAAAAATAAAAAAAAAGAAAATAAAGTTGGCCGGGCGTGGTGGCTCACCCCTGTAACCCCAGCACTTTGGGAAGCGGTGGGGCACAGATCATGAGGTCAGGAGTTCGAGACCAGTCTGGCCAATATGGTGAAACCCCGTCTCTACTAAAAATACAAAAATTAGCCGGGAATGGTGGTATGCACCTGTAGTCCCAGCTACTTGGGAGGCTGAGGCAGGAGAATCGCTTGAACCCAGGAGGCGGGGGTTGCACTGAAATTGCCATTGACTCCAGCCTGGGTGACAGAGGGAGACTTCGTCTCAAAAAAAAAAAAAAAAAGTTAACCCATTTCAGTCGGGTGCGGTGGCTCACGCCTCTAATCCTAGTACTTCGGGAGGCCGAGGCAGGCGGATACATGGTTCAAGACCACCATGGTACAAAAAACACAAACATTTAGTAGTGTGTGGTGGCACATGCCTATAAACCCAGCTACTCAGAAGGCTGAGGCAGGAGAATGGCATGAACCCAGGAGGGGGAGCTTGCAGTGAGCCGAGATCAAGCCACTGCACTGCAGCCTGGGCAACAGAGTGAGACTCCATCTCAAAAACAAAAACAAACAAAAAAAGTAAATAAATAAATAAAAATAAAAAAAAAGAATCGCTTGAACCCGGGAGGGGGAGGTTGCAGTGAACAGAGATCGAGCCACTGCACTTCAGCCTGGGCGACAGAGCAAGACTCCGTCTCAAACCTCCCCCCCCAAGAAAACAAAAAACAAACACAAACAAAAATCATGATCCACATTAACAACTACAAACAAAACAAAACCAAATCGCCACAAAATCATTTATGGACAAGAACAGAAGCTCTGAGGCTGCCTCCCGGACGATGGACAGTGGTAGCGTTGCTTGTTTTCTGTCTTATGAATGTGACTTATAGTCTAGATTTCCTTTTGTGAACGCTTGTTAGTTGTGAAACTAGCGAAGCTGCGCCTCCGCGTTTACGGCAGTGCCGGCTCCGGAGTCTGAGCCCCGGGTTCGAGCTCAGCCCCGCCGCGACCTCGGGAGTGACCCTGGCCGAAGCCCGGTCCCCTCTGAGCCTCAGTTGCCCGGTCTGGGAGCCGGGAATGACAGCTCGCCCCACCCTCGCCCCGCCCCGCGGGCCCTGGGACTGGTTCGCGCGAGGTCCCCCTCCCCAGGAGGGACCGGGCCTCCCCCGCCAGCCAGGCCCCAACCCGGAAATGCAGCTGGGGCGGAGGCGGGGCCCACTCAGGCCGAGGCGGAGCGAGGATGGGTGCGGCCAATGGGCGCGGGCGGCGTCTGCGGTGCGACGGAAGTCCTGCTTGGCGTCGCTCGGGGAGGGGGCGTTGCGCAGGCGGGGGGCCGTCGCGCGGGGGCGGGGCGTCACGGCCATTGCTGGGGCTCCGCTTCGGGGAGGAGGACGCTGAGGAGGCGCCAAGACGGGCAGCGCTGTGGGAGAGGCGCCCGCGCCGACCCGCGGGGCCCATGGTCAGGACCACCAGTCAGTTGTGAGCGCGCTGCGGCGGACTGGGCGCGCCGGCTTGTAACCCCGCCGGGTGCGGCGGCCGCCCGGTCCGGCGAGGCGGGGCGGCCCGGGGTCCCCAGGGCCGGGTGCCGCCTCACCTGTAGCCGGGCGGCCGGGCGGCCGGGCGGGGGATGGCGGGCGCCGGCCGAGGGCGCTGCTAGACTGCGGCGGGGAGTCCGGGCCTGGGTTGCGGCGGGCGCCGCCTGGCCGGGGGCGCTGACAGAGGCGCGGTGGGCGGGGGAGGCCGGGAGGTGTCACCCGGTCCAGCGGGTGAAAGTACCTGGAAAGTTTGTTTTCGGCTCGGCGCAGCCTGGAGTCGAGCTTGCAGGGTTACCTTTTGGTTCTGTCTGTAGAGGAACCGCCCTGGGCTTCCACCTGGAACGGGGTCCCTGGCGTCTTCGCCGGCGAGAGAAGCAGAAGGTGCAAGTTCTTGCTCGAAACACCTGACGCGCCTGGGCCCCCGTTTCCAGATTCTCGATGGCAGTGGTCGGGTAAATTCTCCTTTCACGGCCTGGCCAAGGGGCATTTGGGTGCTTTTCCTGCCCGTGGCTGTGCTCAGCGTTGTGGGAAGCCCCTGGGAGGCCGAATGTGCAGGATCACCGAGGGGAAAGTGAGCTTGACAGGTAGGAGGGATTTTACGGGAAGGACCGAAACAAACCACTTGTTGGGTGAAATGTTTTGCTAAAAAGTATCCCTGGTGTTTATTTTCTCTTTGTTGCTAAAAGTATCCCTGGTGTTTTTATATTTTCTATACGGTAAGTTCTACAGTCTGGGGAAGACGGTATGCGATGTGCAGTGGGTGACGGAAGAACATCTACATAGCTTGCAAAATTTGATTTAAAAGGCAAATATTTTAAATGAAGGAAAACCAAAGAAATTTACTTGATCCCTTATCTTTCAGGATGCGGCTTTTATTTTATTTCATTTATTTATTTATTTATTTATTTATTTATTTATTTGATGGAGTCTGGCTCCCGTCGTGCAGGCTGGAGTGCAGTGACGCGATCTCGGTCACTGCAACCTCCACCTCCCGGGTTCAAGTGATTCTCCTTCCTCAGCCGTCCGAGTAGCTGGGATTAAAGGCGTGTGCCACCATGCCTGGCTAATTTTTGTATTTTTAGTAGAGGCAGGGGAAGGTATGGGCCTTCTGAGAAAATGCAGAGTGACACTGAATTTTGTAACGATGTCAGGAGGCTCTTGAACCTTCTGCAGCTCACTCATGGACTTTGTAGAGATGCGTGATAATCCAAAGTGTTAAGGAAGAGGGTTCAGTTGAGAAAAATGTTGGAGGGTGAAAGGGATGCCTTTCGCTATTTCGCATATGTGGCTGTACCCCAAAGTGCCCTGACTAACATGCAAAAACATCAATTAGGCGGCTTGCTGAGGCTCAGCGGAGGCTGGGGCCGAGAGTCATGTGGAAGTCTGTGGTTAACCTGCACCCAGTGACAGTCATGGCGAAGTTTGTGAGGTTAACTCGCACCCAGTAACGCTGTTGCAATGCAAGGTGTATATTTGGTGTCATCCACGAGAAGAGGAAAGAGCAAATTTTCTCACGGCCTTGGCAGTTCCACATGATGGACGTTTAGTATCTGTAGTTTTCTTCGCATAAGGCAGCTATTTTGCACAAAAAGACTGGAATCCAGTGAGCAAGAATGATAGAATACAGGATAGATTTCCACATGAGGAAGTGTCAGGAACGAGGCTTTTGCATCTCTGTCAGCTGGATTTCCACATGTGTACATATGTGAGAACATGCCGTGTTTCCTGTCCATAATGATGGAGGCGGCCCTAATATTGTATTTTCATCTGAGGACAGATAGACCTTCAGGGTTCGGGTGGGTTTGCATCTGGACTTTAGGGTGGCCCTGTAGGCCCTGTGTGAGAAGCCCCTGCCCGGTGAACTTTCCCACGTGTGTACGCGTGGACAGCCAACAGAGGGAGCAGTGTGAGCATGAAGGCAGACAGTGGCCTGGCCCAGTCTGATGCTAAGTGGGCCAGAGGCAGTGAGTACCATTTCTTGAGCTGACTACTTAAGACAGGTGCTTCCCTAGGTACTTTCACACCTCATTGCAAGGTAGGCGTTGTTCCCATTTTACAGGTGCAGAAGCTGAGCTGCAGAGACGTTAAGTACCTGCCTCATAAGTGGTAGAAACTCCAGTGTCGCCCTGCCCCTCATGTTCAGAGCCCCCGAGGGAGGGTCTGCCGGGCAGCTCAGCCCAGCACTCTGTGTAAGGAAGTCTTCAGTGCCGCTGTCCAGGATGTCTTCCCGGGGGTTGGGCCTGAACGTCTTGACCATGCCGTGCTGGAGGCAGGAGGGGTGTCTTCATGTGGATGAACTGTACATATTTCTTTGGCAGATGGCTGAGCTCTGTGACCCCGGGGCCTGTTTCAGCCTCCTGCTGTCAGAAAGCAGCTGTTTGGAAAGAGGCTGTGATTCAGCCTTGTTTGAGGGCCGATACTCTGAATGGGTGAGGCTTGGAATCCTCCCTTTGGAACAAAGAAACATGTAATGATTTTGCTCAAGGTAGAATTGGGGGACTAGGCAGAGTGGGCTCCTGCCCTCCCTAGCGTGGTTCTGTCTTTTGCAAAGGTGGCTGCGTCCTTAGGGGAAGGTAAGGGGAGAAGCAGAGAGCATGGAGAGCAGTGGCTTTTGATTTCTGTCTCTCCCAGTTGGGCCGGACTCTGGACGTGAGGCTGAGGGAGTGCATGGCTCCTTCAGAGCGTGGGCTCAGATGCTCGGAGTGCTTCCAACTGCTTTTCCGTTGGTAACTCACGTGTTCTTCATGCAGGCTGGCATTTTTCTTTCATGGGTTTTTTTTCACTAGTCAGAATTATAGTCTTCTGATTGTATGTACATAGCTGGTTATTATCAGATACATAAGTTTTTTTTTTTTTTTTGAGACGGAGTCTTGCTCTGTCGCCCAGGCTGGAGTGCAGTGGCCGGATCTCAGCTCACTGCAAGCTCCTCCTTCCAGGTTCACGCCATTCTCCTGCCTCAGCCTCCCATATAACTGGGACTACAGGCGCCCGCCACCTCGCCCGGCTAGTTTTTTGTATTTTTAGTAGAGACAGGGTTTCACCGGGTTAGCCAGGATGGTCTCGATCTCCTGACCTCGTGATCCGCCCGTCTCGGCCTCCCAAAGTGCTGGGATTACAGGCTTGAGCCACCGCGCCCGGCCAGATACATAATTTTAAAATGTGCATCTAAATATAGATTTTATTGGTGAATGCATTGTGTTCTCATTCCATAAAAAGTCTTTTTTTTTTTTTGAGACGGAGTCTTGCTCTGCCCAGGCTGGAGTGCTGTGGCACGATCTCAGCTCACAGCAAGCTCCACCTCCTGGGTTCACGCCATTCTCCTGCCTCAGCCTCCCAAATAGCTGGGACTACAGGCGCCCGCCGCCACGCCCAGCTAATTTTTTGCATTTTTAGTAGAGACGGGGTTTCACCTTGTTAGCCAGGATGGTCTCGATCTCCTGACCTCATGATGCACCCGCCTCGGCCTCCCAAAGTGCTGGGATTTCAGGTGTGAGCCACTGCGCCTGACCCTCCATAAAAAGTCTTAAGCACCAAATTATGCTTAGAAAAAAAATCCTTGTCTCTATAAAAAATACAAAAATTAACCGTGCGGTAATGGCACGTGCCTGTAATCACAGTTACTCAGGAGGCTGAGGTACGAGAATTGCTTGAACCTGGGAGACGGAAGTTGCGGTGAGCGGCGATGGCACCACTGCACTCTAGCCTGGCCAACAGAGTGAGAGTCCGTCTAAAAAAAAAAAAAAAAAAAAAAAAAACTCGAAAAATTTAAGCAGGCTCTCCTGTGCAGATGCTGCTGGTGCTGAGCTTTGTGTCTGGGGCAAAAAAGGTGAGGGCGGGCCCCGGTTGGTTTAGGAGAAGTGGTTATGAACAGAATGGGCCCCAGGCTCCCGGCCTGAGGAAATTCTTTCGTGAAAAAGATTGCTTCTGCAGCTTGGAGGAGGATGGTCCACCTGATGCTCCTGTCCCTCTCTCAGCCCCAGGGGCAGAAGGGAAACAGTCAGCAGCAGCACGGCCATTGCAGATGGTGCCCAAGGCTGGAGAGTAGTTAGTGTCTGAGCAGGAGGGGGTGGCCGGCCTTTGTGGGGCTGCTTCAGAGAGCTGGGCAGAGTCTGGGCCCCAACGTGGACTAGCAGGGGAGGAGCTCTCCTGGCTGGGGTGGCCACTCAGGGAGGTCTGGGTTGCCTGAGCAGGGAATCAGCCTCCTGTGGAGGAGGTTTCTGAGCAGGAGGTGCTCTTCGTGTGGGCCTGGAGGACCTCCAGGCGGCCTGCACTCACCTGATACAGCTGGCTTCTGCTGGGAGGCTGGGTTTGCAGCCAAACTCTGAGACCTTTTGGACAAAACATGCCAAAGAAGTTGGTAGTGATAAGAAATTCATACTAAACTTGTTCTACTAGGGCTTTTTTCGTTTCAAGTATATGATTTCTCTTCGGTAGCTCTCTATTTTTCAAATTAATGTTGAGCATCGAGTCAGAGTCAGGTTTTGAATGACACAGGATGTTTTCAGATCCTGTAAGTTTACCTGAAGCTATGAAAATAGCCTCCTAACAAAATTATTTAAAGCGTAAACTATTTTGGAATACTTTTAGATATGTAGAAAAATTACAGACAACACAGAATTTCCATAATATACCCCAGCCAGCTTCCCCTAATTCTATCACATTACCATGATTCCTCTGTCAAAACTGAGGTGTTCACACTGGCACCACACTACTCACTGAGCGACGAACTTGTTTTGGATTTTGTCAGTTTTCCCCCATGTCCTTCCTGTCTCAGGACCACTATTTTTTGTTTTAGAGATGAGGTCTCGCTCTGTCATCGAGACTGGAGTGCAGTGGTGGGATCATAGCTCACTGTGGTCTCCAACTCCTGGGCTCAAGCGACCCTCCCGCCACCGCAGCCTCCTGAGCAGCTGGGACTACAGGTACATGCCACTGTGTCTGAGGAAGCACGTAGGCCTGCTTTGCTCTTTGCTACTTGCAGTTTTTGTGTTATAGACTGTAGGACACTCGTGGTGATTTAATTTCGGAAGGGACCTTCTTGCTCACCTAGTTGGATCCTTCCAGTTTCTAGATGAAGACACTTGGGACCTGGAGGCCCTCTGACTTTTGGGTCAGAGCTGGCATGGAGTCCAGGCACCTGCTCCTCTGACCACTTTCTGCAGGCATGGATGCTCCTGGGACACTGCAGGGACAGAGCTGTCCCCAGCAATGCAGATTGACAGGGCTGGTTTCCAGTTGGGTGGGGCCGCATCCCTCCCGGGGATGTGAGGCAGGTTTGAGATGAGTCTGCTCCCCTTCTGTCTGCTGCCTCTTTCTTTTTCTTTCTTTTTCTTTCTTTTTTTATTTTTTTTTGAGACGGAGTCTCGCTCTGTAGCCCAGGTTGGAGTGCAGTGGCGCGATCTCGGCTCACTGCAACCTCTGCCTCCTGGGTTCAAGCGGTTCACCTGCATCAGCCTCCGGAGTAACTGGGATTGTGGGGAAAAGAAAGAGAGATCAGGCTGTTACTGTGTCTATATAGAAAGAAGTAGACATAAGAGACTCCATTTTGTTCTGTATTTGAGATGCTGTTAATCTGTGACCCTACCCCCAACCTTGTCCTTGCAAGAGACATGTGCTGCGGTGACTCAAGGTTGAATGGATTTTGGGCTGTGCAGGATGTGTCTTTGTTAAACAAGTGCCTGAAGGCAGCTTGCTGGTTAAAAGTCATCACCATTCTCTTAATTTCAACTACCCAGGGACACGTACATGGCCAAAGGACCTCTGCCTAGGAAAGCTAGGTATTGTCCAAGGTTTCTCCCCATATCACCATTCTCTTAATTTCAACTACCCAGGACAATGACATACGTACACCACTAGGAAAGCTTAGGGGTATTGTCCAAGGTTTCTCCCCATGTGAGACTGAAACAATAATGCTGCTAAAAGGTTTATGGAGATGTTTAAAAATGCATCTCAAGGCACATATTTCTCTTTAAACTTATTCATGTCACAGAGATTTTGTTCATATGTCCATTTCCTCCCTACAGTGATCCTATTGTCCTGCCACTCCCTTATCTTTAAGATGGTAAAGATACTCACACAAAACACTTATGAACTCAGAGACCGGTGCCAATGGGTCCTCTGTAAGCTGAGCGCCGGGGTCCCCTGGGCCCACTTTCTTCTTCATACTTTGTCTCTGTGTTCATTTCTTTTCTCTAAGTCTTCTCGCTCCACTCCAACTTATAAAACACCACAGGTGTGGGAGGGGCAGGCCACCCTTCATCTGGTGCCCAACGGGGCTTTTCTCTATGTGAAGGTACGCTGGAGCGTGGCTGAGGACAAGCTACCAGAGACTCCCGAGCACGTCTACAGTCAGCCTTGCGGTAAGCTGCAGCGCCGGAAGAACCTAGGGTAAGAATGGGGCAAAACTAATATAAATATGCCTTATCGCAGCTTATTAAAATTCTCTTAAAAAAAGAGGGGGGAGCAAAGTCTCTACCAAAATCTAATTACTGGCTTCAAACAATAGAGCAGTTTTGTCCATGGTTTCCAAAACAGGGAACTTTAGATCTAAAAGATTGGGAAAAAATTGGCAAAGAATTA